GGAAGCTCGATGGCGGAGATGAATCAGATGACGACTCGCCACGCAGAGGTGCTAAGAAAGCGCGCCGACAAAGGAGGGGAGATTTGGTCCTCAACCAGTACGAGCAAGCCATCGCTATGGATGTTGTCGCTCCCGATGACATTCATGTCTCATTTGAGGATATTGGAGGTCTGGACGATATTATCGAAGAGCTTAAGGAATCTGTCATCTATCCTCTGACCATGCCTCATCTCTACTCTTCCACGTCATCCCTTCTCAATGCGCCGTCGGGGGTATTACTTTATGGCCCGCCAGGGTGTGGAAAGACTATGCTTGCTAAAGCGCTGGCTCATGAGAGCGGCGCATGTTTCATCAATCTACATATTTCCACTTTGACTGAGAAATGGTACGGTGATTCGAACAAGCTGGTCAACGCTGTTTTCTCGTTAGCGCGCAAGCTGCAGCCCTCGATCGTCTTCATTGATGAGATAGACGCTGTGCTCGGCACACGGCGGAGTGGTGAGCATGAGGCGAGTGGCATGGTCAAAGCCGAATTCATGACGCACTGGGATGGTTTGACCTCCGCAAATTCTCTGGGTGAGCCACAGCGGGTTGTTGTTCTCGGAGCCACAAATCGCATCCAGGATATCGACGAAGCGATCCTTAGGCGGATGCCTAAGAAGTTCCCCGTCACCCTTCCTCCGGCCACACAACGACTCCGAATTCTCAGTTTGATACTCAAAGACACCAAAGTCGATCGGGAAAACTTTGATGTTCATTACTTGGTCAAGGCAATGGCGGGGATGTCCGGCAGTGATATCAAGGAAGCTTGCCGGGATGCCGCCATGGTCCCTGTTCGAGAACTGATTCGACAAAAGAAGGCAGATGGTCTCCAGATGACATCTGTAAACCCGACTGAAGTTCGCGGCCTTCGTACAGAGGACTTCTTCTCTCGAGCTGGAGGCGTCAGGGTCATTTCGCAACCCTCTCAGCCCCAGACACGACCTACAAGCAAAGCCAGTTCGGAGAAAGAGTGGAGCACAGCTGAATCAGATGCAGCATCTGAAGTCGAGGCACGACCCGCTGAGATGACTGAGCCGCCTGAATAAACCAACTTTTTCAGTGATTTGGATGACTTGCTCGTCTAATGTCCTTGATACCAATGTATACAGCACCCCGGTTATGGCGTTGATTTTTGGTATAATACAGTTTCTTGCATTCATATATTTTTGTCAGGTATTCTTCCGGGTCCTTTCCGTTGATGGTTGCTGGCTTTGGCCATCTAATACTTGCGAAACAAGCTCTTTGCCATTGTTTATAGACTTTTGATAGCACGATAACCGAAAGACTCTCCCTTTCTCAAACTGAAGGATCCTAGAGATGTATAGAGGCCGAATTCACTACATTGTAATGCGGCCAAATCATCCACTTTGTTCCACTACGAGACGAGCAAAAATGGAAATCGAAATAGAGATGGACAGACTCCGATTCATAAATTCATTTCTTTCATTCTGATAGACATTTGACGTGGATAGTGCCCGGTCCATATTGGTGCCGTAGGCTATAGATAGATAACAGACATACGTATGTAGCGGGTACATTGGCCACCGGAAGTACGGAGTGGCCCGATTCTTGGAGAGCGGCGGCAACAAGACACTTGCCGATTACAAGAACCTCAACGATTACGAAGCTCCTCTGTATTTGCTATTATTCTATCTACTCCCTTCGGGTCTTTCAAGGGTTCGTAACCTTTTTCTCATCAAAGACCCTACCCCGATTGACTGAAACGGAACACTTGGCGCTCGTTGGGTCCAGTCCGTTCGTTTACTCCATCCAGAACATTGCGGGTCGTCATCACGAGGAGTCCGCTAACTCCTGCTGCATCCCGCGTCTCAACCCCCAGACCTGGCCAGCTTTCTACACTTCCCCTGTTGCCTCACTCTGTGCGCCTGCATACTTCAGCACTTATCCCGAAGGGAAAGATTCCATTCAGTATATTCCTGGTCGCTCATTCTTCCCCACCTGCCCCCTGATCCTGTGATTGCGACGACACGGTGACTGGATGACGAATGGTCCATCTTAGGTAGAGAGCCCTCCGATGGCAACACATGCCTTGGTGATCTCACATGCAGAGTTAAGCTCCTAAGGAAGAGCTTGCGACATCCATCAAAGCGCGGACATCCATTGTTTTTCTGTTTCGCCGGGAATGAGTTCCAACAATGGCATTATTGACACTTTCAGCCCTGGGGCCGCCAGTACGAACACCGGCAATAGATCTACGTCCACCGTCCGACCACGTACCCGCCGTCTGATATCGGTTGATGATGTTACCGACGAGGACTATGGAAGACCAATGCAGTCCACCAGGCTTTCTACCACAACGCTTTCACGAGACTCCTCCGCAGTCCGTTCGCGAGGTGCCACCCCATCACCCCACACATCCCGCGGGGCGTCACCCCTTCCAATGCGGCATCCTTCGCGCGCCACTGAATCACTCAACCGAGATAATCTCAATGGGCTCGGTTTCTCCCTAGGCGGGCACAGTCAGACGGGGAAGGCACAGGTCAAGTTCGCCGATTCTTCGCGGGCAGCGGTGGATTTTCTAGATGCTTCTTGGACTTCCTTACAAAGTCTGGCATCTTCTTTTTTGGGGAGTGATATTGCCCGGCCCGCACCGAATGGGACGGCACGTACCCATGCGAGAAAGCCTTCGCGACCAGACCCGTACATGAGGGCTACTCCAAAGACACCCTCGGCATGGGGTCCGTCGGCCTCGTCCACATCGGAAATTGCAGCCGGAACGAAGGAAGAAAGACAGGCTATGGTGCAGGCCAAGAAGCGGGAGGCTCTACTACTAGCAGACACGGGTTCTGAGGCTAGTCGCGACACTCGGCACAAGAGACGAGATTCCAGTGAACAAACGGACCACTCGGCGATCGATGCAAAGCAGGACGAGGAGGCTTTAGCGTATATACACCACGTTCAGCCCAATGACAGCATCACCGGGGTTGCGATTAAGTATGGCTGTCAACCAGCGATTTTCCGAAAGGCCAATGGATTTTGGCCAACTGATAGTATTCAGAGCAGGAAGACCGTGCTTTTGCCAGTTGCCTCCTGTTCTGTGAAAGGACGGCCGATCCGTGCCCCGGCCGAAGTGGATCTTCTAGGCGGCTACACTTCGAATCGGGATTCTCTAGAGGATCTGAGTGGAAGCTCCATAGCACCTACCCCAAGTTCAGACACTCGGGCTTCCGCTGCCGAGGGAGAGGCATCTGCAGAAGCGCCGCTTGAAGCGGAGGCAGATAGGATCTGGAAGCATCAGTCGTGGGTGCAGATCGATGGATTTTCCGCGCCAGTAGAGATCGGCCGCGTTCCTCGCAAAGCATTGGGATTCTTCCCGCGTACACGACGAAAATCTCTGTCTTACACAGACTCCGAACCTCGTTCGTCGGTATCCGGCCGCGAGTGGACGGCAACTCTCACTTCAACTTTGCCTTCAGCGACTGAGTCGCCATCGTCGCAAGCGTCCACTGCACAGAATCGAAGCAGTACAGACCCTTCAAGGGCGCGAGCCATGTCTAGTGCCAAACCGAGACCACACCACCAACGACAACGTAGCAATATACAGCTCGTGGGGACAGGAGTCGGAACTCTCGATCGCAGTGCGATGGCTCCAGGGCCAGCTCTCGACGGATTGAGTAAATTTGTCGCACAACATCTGCCAAATTTAGCTCCTCCTCCTGCACCCCCTGGTCTGGGAAGGACGCCGTCCGAGTATGCCGCGGCTACGGCTTCCACTGCCTCAACTAGCCTTGACAATATAGGGGGTGCAGTTGAAGGCTGGGTGAGAAAATTGACGACTCGAGCGAAAGCAGGTCTCAGCGACCTACAACAGGGCGCTCAAGCGTATCCGAGCAATACTGGTGCAGGGACTAGCCGACGTGACATGGGAGATTTAATCGAATTGAACGCTGGCTTGGAGTCAAGGAATTCATCTAGCCTTCTGCCTGAAAATGCGCGAAAACCAGATCTGAGCCGGTCAGGATCAAATCTGCACGACGCATCCTCATTGAGAGGACGTTTCCCCAGTCCATCATCCGGAACGAGCAGGACTCACACGGGTGGATCAAACCTATGCTATGGAGACCGAGCGAAGGATGACTGATCTCGTGCACAATGGTCATAGCTGCTAGGTCTCGCAATTCCGGCTCGTATCTTTTCTGGTGTCTGGATCATCACTCATCCAATTGCCATTCTGCATTCTTTCTGTCACTCGGAATACTCGTACAACCAGCATGGCGCCGCAGGGCAGCACCTCTGATATACAGTGTGGTTGACTCCTGATAATATTGCTAGAGGGTGTTGGGATACCCGTTGAATCGTTTCTTGCTTCGACCCGATGTATTTAGCTGAAGCAGCTCATACCCATTTTCAGATAATTCACTTGACATAGATTCATCAGCGTTCGTATACCATTCTATTCTGCAGTATCAAGTCTTTCTACAGGCTACGCCAAATAGTTATAAACATGGAGAGATAATGCTTCCTTAATAGACAACCTAGAGATGTAAGAATAGCCAGACTGATTCCTCCCTGGCTCGTTGCGTCGGTCTTCTCGCGGGTATGAGTGATACCCTGACAAGTCGACAAAGCTGACAGCATCGGAGCTGCAATCAAAGCTTCTAACAGGTCCTGCAGATCCACGCATCAAAGCTCTCTTGTTCTCTGACTAGCATTGGGTAAATGCAGCTTACGGAGAAATTGTTGTACAGTGCCAGTTGACGCTAGCGAACGTCACTGCGTCTCTCCTCAAATACTTCCACCTATCGTCTGCTTCTCCCAACATCAAGACAAGAAAGCGTATCCACTTCCCCGGAATATACCCCATCTTCATTGAGAAAGCACTATCAAGATGCGGAGAATCTCCAACATGGGGACTGCATTTAACGGGCTGATTTCCACGGAGATGGCAGCCCAGCCGGTCGTGCGCAGTGTCTCTCAGCGACAGAGACAAGACCAACATGCCGCATCGAATCTCCTCTCTCCCCTGGCTGTCTCTCTTACTGGGCGCATTGAGCCTTGCTCTGCCGAGCACGCAGATCCAAGACGCCATTGCAGAGTATCCGACAGCCACCGCGCGTGCAAGCCACCACTCCGGCTCAGAAACCGTCTTTGTAGGCCGTTCGTTACCAGAGTTTGACCAGGAATTGTTCCTGGGGATTAAGTATGCAGACCAGCCGGTTCGATTTACACCGTCGAACCTGAAAATATCCTATGCTGCCAACGACAGTAACTCGGGCCACTTTGATGCCTCCGGGACTGGCCTGGCTTCGCCCAAGGGCACAGTGCTGTACAATGCCACTCAATACGGGCACGAATGTCCCGGCTACGGATCGGACGAGACGACGCTGGTTAAGATGGGGCTGATCACTTTGAATGAAGACTGCCTGAATCTCAATATCATTCGTCCGACGCGGAAATCGGCTCACGAGGAATTGCTTCCGGTGATGATATGGATCTTTGGAGGTGGATGGCAGCAGGGGGCTACCGCTGATCCGAGGTATGTTTTATCGAAAGGTAGTACTGGACAGACTGACAGGTATCCGTGATAGATATAACATGAGCTATATTCTTCATCAAGGAGCTCTGAATGGCAAGCCAGTGCTTGGCGTCTCGATCAATTATCGTGTTGCTGCTTTTGGATTCCTGGACTCGGAGGAAGTTAGGGTATGTATCAATACATATGTGCAAGGCTATGCTGACGGTACAGGCTACCGGCAATAATAACTTGGGTCTACGAGATCAACGGGTTGCCATGCGATGGGTTAAGGAGAATATCAAGGCGTTTGGCGGCGATCCTGACAAAGTGACAATCTGGGGAGAATCTGCGTGAGTGAGGAATCACCACCGTCATCCGTGCGATGCTGACCTGAGCAGAGGTGCCTACAGCGTTGGAGCTCATTTGGTTGCCAATGGTGGTGACAATGAGGGTCTATTCCGGGCCGGTACGTTCTCGCTCTAGCATTTACTATCTGGAAGGCTCACATGGTTGTAGCAATCATGGAATCTGGTAACGCTGTTGGACCGCCATGGAACGGCACAGACTGGCATCAGCCGATGTACGACCGCATCGTGAACAAGACTGGGTATTCTCAATTGCACCTTATGGTAGAGATATGCTGACGGCCGTAGTTGCTCGACATCCTCGGATACACTTCAGTGTCTACGAGAAATCCCGTACCAGTCCCTGTACGACGTGGCATATGAGGGTCTGGAATGGTTCGCTGCAATCGACGGATCCTTTATCAAGGAGTACCCCCAGATCAGTTACACTCAAGGCCGACTGGCCAAAGTACCCATCCTCCTTGGATCCAACACGGACGAGGGCACCAGCTTCGGTACTACAGGGACAAACACCGACGAAGACTGCATTAACCAACTCATATGTGCGTTTTTTTGTTGATAGCCAAGGCGATGACTAGTGCTGACAACGACAGCCTCGAAACGCTGGGTCCTCACCCGCGAAGAAGCCACACGCCTTCTCACGTACTACCCCAACGACCCAGCCCTGGGATGTCCCTACGGCTGGGGCAACGTGACATGGCCAAAGCTGGGACTGATGTACAAACGGTACGAATCGATGGCAGGCGATCTGGCCATGGCCGCACCAAGACGGCTGCTTGCACAGACGATGGCCAAGTACACGAAACAGATCTACTCTTATCGATGGGACGTGCCAGCCCTGAACACAAGTAGCACCATTGGTGTCGGACATTTTGCAGAGGTAGAAGTGCCCACCACCTTGTTTGACGTCAATGATTCATTTCTCGTACAGATCCCTTTCGTCTTTGCGAATCCCGTGCAGAACATTACACCGCTGGGAACTGATCCCGCCCGTCTCGAACTGGGCAACATGGCCGCTCGAATGTGGACGTCCTTCGTGACGGACTTGAATCCCAATGGACATGGAGGTACGTCTCTGTCGTGACTAGATTGAAAGACACTGACAGGAATAGTACCGCGAATCCCGCAATGGCCCAGGTATACGCCAGGAGAGAAGGCGTCAAACTTTGTCTTTCGGTTGCCCAGAAATGGAAGCTATGTGGAGCGGGATGACTACCGCTTGGGTGGGATGGATTATATCAATAGTATTGCACGGTAGAGCTATATAGGGAGTTAGACAAGCCGTATCTACCAGGGCAATATGACAGAAAGTTCTAAGCGCGGACATAGATTCGAAGAAGTTAATGGTTCTCGTCAACTGGTCAGTGCCAGCCAACTGGTGGTCAACTGGTGGTCAACTGGTAGCCAACTGGCAGCCAACTGGCAGCCAACAGGCAAGCCATTCGCAAGCGAGGTCACCTAGGGCTGGTAATCCAGTCAATCAAAGTCCATTCATGTAACTCAACTATTCTGCTGTCTATCAGAGATCTAATCTAACTGTCAGTGAAAAAGACTGACTCAACCAAAATCACGACATCCTGCTCCCAGATCAACCCTATTCAAAAGCATGGTCTTTAATCTTGAGTAGCTCGACCTCACTTATCAGCGCATCAGCATCAGTGTCATTCCCAAATCGAATCCAACCGAGTCAGAACTCAGAAACTCACAAAACAAGCGAAGCGTTCGGCGGAATCAGCCCCGGAAAGCCCCTAGCACACACCCATTAACTACCCTATTCCACACCCCTACTCAACCGAGGTCATGAAATGAACATACTTCTCTCCATACCCATAATCCCTACGCGTCAATCAGCCGACATCAACATCACAAAACCCAAGAGCGGAAGCAGAAGCGAAGCGGAAACCATACCCACTCATCGTCAGAATCGCCTTCTCCCCAAGACTCATCTGCGGAACGCCCTCGTCCCACCCTGCAGCCGCATGAACACCCCAGCATCCAGCATAGCAACATGTGTAAAGGTGGAGTGAACCAGACATACCCCGAATGACATCGCCCGCACCAATAGTCGCCTTCAGCGGGCCGCGTCTCTTCGAGCTATCGAATCTGATAAGAGGAATTAGCTAGCTCTCTACCCTGTGTTCACKATGAGTGGCCTACATACTCCTTCCCTTTATGGTGATCCGGGTTCGATTCGTCGTACAGATAGCCGGTGTAGTTGAGCTCGACGGGGTCGCCGGGCTGGGGGTGGTCTTTGCCGTTGCCCATCCGGAGGGTTTCTTTTTCGAGGCCCATTGTATACTAGCACTGGGTTATTGTGAGAAAGCGTTTATTCTGACGGAATGGAGGTTTAGAAGAGTGGAGATGCAGAAGGAGGTGGACGAGGGAGATTGAGGTCATATTGGGTGGATTTGATGTAATCATTTCATAAAGAGCCGATTGTTGGATCCGGAGCGTAACACATTAGGATGGTAAATTGTTGTGGTAATGAAATATCTAGGTCAATGCTTTATTGTCTGCAATAAGTGATGGTGCAGCTGTGCATTGGTTTGATCTGCCGATCCGATTTGGGTGCTGTCTGTCTAGCTAGACCTGCCAGAAAGACATATTCTTCAACTCATCAACATGGATCGACCGGATCTGTGTCCGCGGAAACCGCTCGTCCACTGCCGGCCCATCCCCCAGCTCGAGGTAATGCAATGTCGAGATGCCAGCCTTCTCCATGAACGCCAGCACCCCGTGGAAATTGAAGCCGACCTGGTCCAGCCCGTGGCTATCATCCGAAAGGACGAACCGGCCTCCTCGCGCCAGGAATTCCTAGTACAGTCAGTCGTCATCCTGCCACAGAAACAATGAACGAACTCACTCTGCAAATCTCCTCCTTGGGATAAGGCTCGCTCATCCCCTTCCGCAACGCAGCCGAGTTCAGCTCCAGCATGCCCCCGTACCCAGCGATGAAGTCCAGGTTTCGCAGAATCCGCTCCCATACCCCAGGCCACTGCTTGAAGCTGCGCTCAGGATCATCGCTCTTCAATTTAATCAGATCAAAGTGCCCCACGACGAGCGGCCGTAGCTGCGTCAGCATATCCAGCTGCTCGTCAAAGTAGCGCTCGAACAGACGCTCGTCCGTGCCGCCGGCCAGCTCGCGAGCCCTTTCATACATAGGCCGGTCATAGTCGATCGGCACGGTCAGCGTATGATGCACAGATCCTACGAAGAACTCGAACGGGAACCTCGACAGGCTCTGCTCGATCAGGGTCCGCGACTCGGGCCGAATCCAGTCAATCTCGAACCCAATGAGGATCTGGATCTGGTCCGCATATTTCTCGCGCAACCGCACGGCCTCTGCGAAGTATGCGGCTTCGTTGGCGATCAGGGCGGCTTCGGTGTTGCCGGTTTCGATCTGATGAGTCAGTGATGGTTTGGCATAAACGTTGCTCCGGGCGTACCTCTTCCGGGTAAAAGTCTTCTTTTGCTCGGGGCATGTGCTCGGTTAGACAGAAGACTTTGAACTTTTTTGAGATGGCCAGTTGGATAATCTCCTCTAGTGAGTCTTTGGCATGGCCTGGGCAGAACTGGCCCGAATGGCTGTGGTGTGAGAACGGCATGACTGCAAAGACTTTGAGGGATCGAGCGTGTAATAGAAGAGAGGTCACTTAGACGAGGAATTGAACATGTAGAAATAGAGACCTGAAGCAGCACCACGCAGTAGATTAGAGATGGATTGATTGATAGAAGTAGTATGCAAGTGTCAGCGCAAACAACCAATGTAACGCTGTTCCGAGACTGCGTGGGGGAGAAATGCCCCGCCGTGGGATATTGGAGCCAAGCTCCGAGGATATAAATAGTGTGATATCAAACCAAAGCTAGGAATAGTATTTATTGGATCTGTTTTGACAGTCCAACGATGATTGATGCTTGAGAATAGATCCGTGGGACGTTGCTACACGATGAAAAAAAGAGATGATAAAGTCCGCCGACCCACTATCATCCATCAATCCTCAAACCTGGTACATTCTCACAATACTCACAACAGCTACGAGTATTCTCTTACTCTGCTTATATACTGTATATTACAAGACAAGTTGTTGTGAACTTGTGGCCCATAAACCCAGAAATCTCATTTGTGAGGGAGATAGCAGTGAGGCCATGTCATTCATCCAGAATACCTAGAGTCACAATGTTCGCACTCAGAAGCAGTCCATCATCTAGAGTAGTCACTTGGCTTGCATCGTGTTTCCTCCTACGATTGGTCAAATGTAGCCTCAATCCTCTGGACTCATCCTAGGGCAGCCCTAGCGCTGAGCCTGGACGCATAGAGGTGTTCACCACGTCCTTTTTATCCATCTCAGTTCTCAGCAGAGCAGAGAGCAATAGAATCTCGCGCACGCCGAGGGCAGATCATGAACTGGTGCAAATCCAAGATTCGTTGTATCTAGATGTTGAATCCGACTGTGGAGGCTAGGATAATGAGCGGAATCATATCCACGGTATGCACCCCACTCCTTCTCGCCTGAATCTTTCAGGCAAAATGAAAAAGCATCATTTGCCACTTGGTGAGGGGAGCAGTCTTCTCATGTAGTTAAGCCCTTGCATGAGGTGAGCATTTCTCCCACTGGTTATACGATTGTTGAGATCGGGTGGCCCCCCACTCCCCATCAAGCCGAAACAATAGCAGCTGATGGAGGGCCGAGCATGTCCGACTCGATGTAGAGATTTCTTTGACCGCATGTCAAACTGAAGGTGCTCCGGTATGCAGCAGAGTAATCAGGATCGTTAATCCCTAGGGGATGGTCGTGGAGGGAACCTTCGACAATCCCCGAACCACGCACCGAGACACCAGCAGACGGGCTCCTCGTGTTCCCCGCATGAGACACAGAAATGTACATCTCATCCCGAAGGATTCCATCCGAGAGGACCGAGGCATCAATAACCTTCGACCGGACAGACTTCAACCAGCCGCAAGCACGGTAGCAACCACATAATCACCGTCATGCGAGATAGACAGCTTGCCTACTCTGCCTTCGCCACTCCCCCCACCACCCAAGCGATCCAAGTACACAATCTCCGGTCTTCCCTTATCAGCCTCACCCACCCTAACAATAACATCCTTCCACCCGATGGACGCCGCGCCGGCCGGAGCAGCTTTACGTGCTGCCTCTTTTGCGGCGAAGCGGCCTGCCAGCCAGCGCGCCATGTCTGGAGTTATTGCATTGGGTCCAGCTTTTTCTTCACCGGATGATGGTGGTAGGAGGGAGAATCTGGTGCGGAAGTCTTGCTGCTCCTGTTCGTGGAGGATCCGCCGGGTGAAGCGGTGGAAGTAGTCGGGACGGTTGATCAGGCGGAGAATTCGGGGGAGATGAACGATGTCCGTCCCTATGTTGAGGGAGTACGGAAAGGGAATTAGTTTCATAGGTGGTTATTGAGCATCATAGGTGTTAGGAGTTGATCTCTCTAGAACGGGTTTGGAGACGTTGTTTGTATTTTGAGATCATGTGACTGTCATTTTGGTGTGCTTCTTGGAAGCAAAAGTGAAACCGTAAATCATGATGATAATACTGGGAAGCGAAGTATACATAAATCTGAGGAAATCTGTCTAATCACTATTCGGTATTTGCCAATGATACAGTTATCGGATGCACTCCTTCATCTGTCTGCTCGTGAGTTGCTGCATGCTACGAAGCCGTCTACATTTCATCTTCTAAGCTATTTGTCACTCTGCTCAGCGTACGAAGATCCTCTGAAACCGATGGGTCCTCAAGAGCAGATAGAGCAGATAGATCTTCACATGCGAGTATTTGGTACAGAGTTGAAGGAAACAACCTCAAATGGCGTATACCTCTATTATGTACAGATCATCAGCACCACTGGCACAGCCATTGAGCCCCATCACTAGCGAATCTTGAAACACACGACTTGTAGGGATCCCGTCTATGATCGCAAGAATCCACCCAATTATAGAATCGTTTCCATGATGGATATATCTCGCGTTCAATTTCCTTTTCGTCGTGCATCAGCAAAGCGTCCTCGATCGAGTCCCTATCGTCAAAGGGGGGCGCCTTAATGATCCGATTTCTTTTGCTCCCCGTTTACTTGGTTCAAGAAGTCCCTGTGATGACCGCGGTTAGCCTAATTGAAAACAGCATGCTGTGCCAGTAACTCCAATGATAATGTGCAGAGTGGGAATGCCATTGAAGGCCGTGGGAGGTCATTGGAATCATTGGAACCGCAACGTTGGACAACATATGTGTAGAGTATGGACGCAAACATACTGGATGAACTTCTCCTCGTCCTTGGAAGAGGCCTGAATGGGAGGAGTAACTCCCTGCTTCTTCTGACCACCACCGCGAGTCGAGAGGTAGATACCACCGAACAGGGTGCCCATGACGCCCATGGCGAGCTAAAGTAATTGACCGGAATTAGCCATACGCCATTGCAATGTCATCAGTGACTTGACTCCTGCTCGGCTGTCGCAGCATCACGAAGATATAACGGGAGAGACCGGGGGGAACGTACGACGTGGGAGCCGACCTGCTTGCCGGCAATCTGGTAGTAGACAACCATGGTGATGGATTGGAGTAGGTTTGATAGAGGAAGATAGACGCGGGGAATGGAACAATGGATTAATAGGACCTGCGGAAGCAATCGTCAAAGCCGGCAGCGATGGAAGTTGACTGCGCGGCTTGGTCTTTACCTCATCCGGTTAGAGCCGTTGTTGAGGTCTCGTGATATCACGTGGGCAATGCATGACATAATAGGTTTCCTTGAGATCATGTGATGTTCCGGCTCGGTCCGAATCAAAGACGGATCGGGAAGTTCCGCAGCACGCGCATCTCAGGACTTGGAGAGCACAAACGGCCAACAACCACCAGTGACCACCTGATTACAGGATATGAGAAGAAGTATATGCTACGATTTCATTGCTAAAGCTATCAATACAGACACAACGTCGCTCGGCATGAATCTCTTGTGGTGAGGACCCGGAGTGGCAGTGCAGGACACTGGGCCAAGGGAAGCATCCGATGAACCTCGGGGCAACAGATGCCTTCAGGCTGGGATGAATTACTCCGTCCTCCTCAATACTACCCCGGCTACTGCGTGCTGTGCAGCTGCTCGGGTGCCGCGTGCGGTTACTTAGGAAGGAAAAAAAATAGATGAGAAAATATTGTTCTTCCGGGGAACGTCCCTGTCTTTCTATCCATCGATTTATTCGTCTTTTCAACTTTCCTTTGCTCTGTTCTTGTAGCTTGTAGCTTTCCTCTTGCGGTTTACTTGCCTCCCCTGGCTATTACTGTACATACAACACATATACCCTTCGGTCCAGACCGTCCCTCGATATCAAGTCCCTGGTTTTCTCCTCCGCAAATTGAAAGCATGTTCTGGAGGAAGCATCACGATGAGACTCCCGCAGACACACCGCAGAAACCGATCCCCCGCGAGAAGCTCCCTGCTCAACTCCAGAAAATAGTTGACGAGGATGATGGCTTCTACGATGATATCTACCCCCCATAGTATGTTTCCTCCTGGCGCATCCTGTCGCTAGTCCTCCAAAGTTGCTGTTCAATGTCTTGTGTCCAAGTTTACCCTGCGGAACTGAACTATGGCATCATATCTCCGCCTGTCCCCGCAAAACATTCAAAAATGATGAATTTCTTTTCCCTCTTACAACCCTCACCACCATTCCTCCCCTCGACCTCCTCACCACTTCACCGCAATGAAAAACCCATTATCTAATATGGACAGCTCTGTCGATTCAACCGACACCCCCTACCGATACGCCGGTTACGTCAACCGCATTCGCACCATCCTCCTCTCCGCCCACCGCTACGTCGCCTACACCTCCGACGTAGGCGAGTCCTTCCGCCCCGTCGCACACCCCTACCTCGTGCGCACCGCCTACGGCATCTCATGGACCTATCTGCTCGGCGATGTCGCCCACGAAGGCTACAAAGCCTACCTGCGCAACCGGCACGTCCTCGCCCCGCCCGGCGAGGCCTACAAGGACGCCAAGCACCTCTCGGCCAACGAGGTCGTCATGGGCATGGCAACAGGCGACATGGGCGGTCCCAGCGCCGGTGCTGAGCTCGCCCCCTGGCCGACCGCCCGCATCCCCCTCATCGAGGACTACCGCATGGTAATGGTCAAGCGGGCCGTGTTCCAAAGCATCGCAAGCATGGGTCTGCCGGCGTTCACGATCCACTCGGTGGTCAAGTACTCCGGGCGAGCGATGAAGAACAATAAGAACGTGTTCATGCGGACTTGGACGCCTATCGGTGTATGTTTCCCCGCTCTTCCTCTCCTTCTCTCTCTCCCTCCCCAGCAGCAGTGTAAGGCAGTACAGTGCAGCTACTAATGCGAATGCGACGACAGCTCGGCCTCGCAGTCGTTCCCTTCCTCCCGTACATCTTCGACGAACCCGTCGACGAAGCAGTAGAATGGTCCTTCCGCACTGCTCTCCGCGCCTACGCAGGCGAGGACGCCGTCCGGCCCCTCCCCGCCCCGGCCTCAGCCTCGGCCGCTCACCCCGCAGACGCAGACGCAGATGCACCCTCTCTATCGCACTACCTCAAGACCCAGGCGGAGAAGAACTCGTCCACGGCGCTCGGAGCCGACGCGGCCGTCGCAGCCAGCGCGAATCTCTCCTGGGAGGAATACAAGGCCGAACGGCAGAAGGCGAAGGAGGAGCGCAGGCGGGAGCGCGAGGCCAAGGGCCAGACGGGACCCCTCGCTTGGTTGGGGTTCGGGTCGGACTCGAACTCGAAGAGTAAAACCGAGTAATGAGCCTCTATTCTCGTGTAATGCTTGCGTGGGTTGGGACGGGGCGTTTCATGGGGGTTATGCGCCTGCGCTTGAGCCTGTATGTTGATTTAGATTTTTCGATTTGCCGCGTAGACTCCGTTCACTCCGATCCGTTTCCTTTGTCACTCATCTCATCTCTGTTGCATATGCACAGCCATGTACAGGAGTTCCAGGTGCTCTCAGCTCAATGATTCCGTGTTGTACCTAATTGACCTAATTGATGGTAGGAAAAGACGTACATCGGACGCATCTAAACTTTGTAGACATTGTGCAGGCAAGTGTGCAGCTTAGTATAGGTCCATAGCTACGTTCTCGCAGGATCGATCGATATTCAAGATATTCAACATATTAACGGTCAAATAAATATTCAGGCATTCATTCAACATCCCCAGGGGTACAAAAATCCTAGACACGACTCGTTCACTCTCTACTCACACTATACATCTGTACAAATAATCGCAAGAACAAAACACTAAAAGACATCAAGAGAGAACAGGGCCAGGGGCAATAGTATACGGCATCACTCATTACAGATACCTAACCCCCCAACCCAGGTATGGAGCAGAGGAATTGATGTTTTTTCTTTGAGACGATGCGAGTCGAGAAGGTAACAATGATCTTGGTGTGGGGAGGTAAGTACTTCTCTGTAGCACCATAAAGGAAAGTAAGAAATGAAAAGGTAGAAAAGTGAAGACCAAAGTCTGCCAAGAACAAATGGGGAATAAATATAGGGAAATATGGTGGAAGAAAGAGACAGAATGATACAAAAACAACGCCCCAAAAGCGCTGTCTCACAAACCAAAAAAATGAATACATTCAGAAGTTAAAAAGGTATCTCCGAAGGCAGGGAGGACTGGCAGGCGCATTCCAGCGAGACCCACTCCCGCCCATGATCTCTGAGCCACATCGTAGGGGTTAATCTATTATTCCTTTTGCAATACCCGGGCTTAGTTCCAGCCCAGGGAGTTCTCGGCCATGACAGGAGCACTGATCATCTGGCCCCGGCCACTTCCCCGGCTATTCTGGCTGTTGCGGGAAAGACGACCGCCAGCGGTAAAGAGAGAACCGGCACCACGACCTTCACTCGTCTGCTCCATAGTGKAATTGGAGCGGCGATGCAATTGACGCTTCTTGCGGTAGCGACGAGCAACCCAGAACATACCCGCACCATAGGCTGCGGCGCCGGCTACGACACCAACGCCGATGCCAACAGAGCTGGCACGAGCGGTAGAGCTGCGACTGGCACCGGCATCCGCGTTGTTGCCAGAGCCACTGCCGCTGCCACTGCCATTACCATTGCTGCTGCTACCGCTGCCGCTGTATCCACTGCCGCCAGACAATCCGCTGCCACTAGAAGAGCCGGATTCTCCAACAACAAGAGGAATGGAGGGATCGATCATCGCGAACAAGGTCTTGACCGACTCGTTGGGCTGCTGGTAGAGTTTGGACAATGGACTGCGGAGCAGCATCCTCAAGGTGTCAACCTTGTCCGTAGGAATGTAAGCCAAGGCAACAGTTGCAATGTACCCGGTGCTGGCCGAGTTGTCGTAGGGCTGGATCGCGAACATCGAGATATCTTCCCCGAGAATCTCCAGAGCATAGATCAGCCCCTGTGGAACGTACAGGAAGATCTGCGATGAAGAGAGCGGGGTCGTGGCGACGAAGCTGTATCGGAGTTTGCCATTGAAGCCGATCTGAATCAAGGTAGAGCCCGCTGGAGGGCTAGTCACACCATTGGCGGGGGAGATGGATCCGGGCAACTGAGCGGGTCGACTGGTGCCAGTAGCAGTCTCAGCCGTTGAGAGCTGGGTCGTGGTTGTAGGCTCCACCAGAATACTGGAGGGAACAAAGTCGGTGTTCTCGGAGGTGGTAGTTTCGGGTGGATGATGAGTAGTAGCAGTGGTGCTGGTGGGTGCGACTGTGGTCTCCGGCGTGGTTGTCGGACTCGGGGTCGTTTTTTCCTCGGTTGTAGAGGGCGTTGGAATTGCCGAGCTGCTGAAAGTGGCAGTAGGCGTGACCTGACCAGTAGGCACAGTCGAGCCTACTGCGGTGGAACCCGTGACAGCGATCGAGGAACCAATAGCGGTGTCAGAGCTACCGGGAATGACAGAGGTGCTAGTGGCCGAGGGAGCACTTGTAGGAACGCTAGGACTAATCTGAGTGTACGAAGTTCCCGTCTCAGTTCCGCCAATGCCTCCCGGGATGATGATACTAGTCAAGCCGGTGGGGACGGCGAAGCTGCTAGTGGGAGTGCTTGCGCTTGGAATGATTCCGGTGCTGCCGAGGATAGGGCCCAGAATTCCACCCAGCCCACTCGAGTTGGTGGCGGAGGGTGTCACAGCAGGGACACTGACAGGGATAGTAGACTGACCAAGGACTGTGGATCCCGGGGTCTCAGGCCCGCTGCTACTGTTGGTGACGGTTGAGGATGATGCAGCAGAACCGGGCAATAGGTCAGAGATACCAGAGGTCAACGAATCGAGCAAACCGCCAGAGCTTGGAGTTGGGGTGGGGCTGGCCTCTGTCGGAGAATTGTTGCCTGTCGGAGAGGGAATAACGGCTGTTGAKGGGGTAACAGTGCCATCAGTGTTGGTAGACGAATTGGTATTGGCAGCTCCGGACGCAAGGGGACTGGAAGCTCCAGGCAGAATTCCAGGGAGGTTCGAGGCAACAGTGTCCAGGAGGCCGGACGAGCTCGCGGTTGGGGTGGGAGTCGCTTCAGCAGGAGAGGGAGCAGCGACAGATGAGGAACCCATTGGCGTCGT